GGGCTGGACCGGGTCAGCCAGCGAGACTACGTTCTAGGAAGAGCTCCAGGCGAGCCCCGACTGCAGGAGGCGGGCCTTCCTCCGGTGCCTCCTGGCTCCTGTGGACGACTCCACTCTCGGCGCGCGCTGAAGGGGGAAACTCGGCTTTCAGGCGGAAGTGCTCGGTCTCTGCGGGGAAAGCCACCCCTTAGTGAAACCGCGAGTGGGCGAATCCAGCCCCGGCGGATCAACCGCCGCGACTTCCGGTTCCGATGACAGCTGCGCCGGAAGCCAGGGCCGGGGCTGCAGGACGAGGTGAGAGCGGGCGGGGTACTGGACCTGGAGACGCAGGCCGAGGGCGGGGCGTGCCGGGCTGGTGGAGGTGGGGGGCTCGGTACGGAACCCCTCTGCCTGGCTTCCAGGCCCTGGCCTTCTTCAGGAAAACCTTCTCCTTACTAAGCCTTCACATCATCTGCTTTTGGGCTTGTTCTCTTCCCAGTGGTCATCCCCGTAGGGATTTGGAGACTGAACAGACTAATAGGACCTGAGCGCCGCCTCGAGGACTCTTAGCTTCTTGGGTAGTCACTCAGATTCGGTCGTCGTATCGTCCTAGTGGGACCACGTAGGTAACACAGTATGGGCTGTGGTCTAGGCAGAGCACTTGAGCAGGGATTTTTGAAGGATGAGTAGAGGAGTTCATCAGTCATTTACACATTAATACAGAGGAAACTCCCAGTAGGGACTGTTATCTTGGGGAAATGGTAGGTTTTTTCCGCCCTTCCTCTAGTTTTGGTTACTGAAAGAAAGAAAGATTTGAAACTTCATACAGGGATGTGATGAAGAAAAGGGGACTGTTTGATAGGGTGACTGTTGTGGGGGCTGGGCGGATGGGGCAGCATTAACGCTGTGGTTTAGAACAGCTCTGAAGAAATGACTTTCGAGTTTAGTCCCAAATAAGGTGCCAACCATGGGAAGATCTGGGGGAAGAGTGTTCTAGGCAGAGGGAACAGTTAGTACAAAGGCTCCCAGACAGAAATAAACTTGCTGTCACCAAGGACAAGAAAGGCTCGTATGTCCATAGTGGTGAGTAAGGAAGGACTGAGGGTGGTAGGAGATGAGATTGGAGAGGTGGTTGGGGGTTGACCCACAGAACCTTGTAGGTCCTACAAAGGATTTTATTCTAAGTATAATGGGAAGCTGTTGGGCTTTTAGCAGAGGAGTCATGTGTAGGATAGAGAATGAATGGGAGTGAAGAGTAGCAAAGTGGAAGAATTGGGTCAATAGAGCTTGCCCAGTTCTGTGTCAGACAAAGAGGATTATCCTGTGATTTGTTTCAGGGTGCTGAAGACTGAGAACCCCCATGCCTGTCTTGGTGGAGATTTTAATATTTCACTCATATCTCTTGTTCCCCAAGCCCACAGGTTTGAGCTCAGGCCTTCTAGGCCAAGGGTTGAGGAATGGATGCAGCCAATTTAATCAGCAAATGTTTATTGAGGCCCATGGGGGTCCAGGCCCTGACTGGGCCTTAAGGAGGAGGGAAAGAAAAGAGTCTGGATTCTAGTCCTGAGCTCACAGTTTTCTAGGAAGGTAGACATGTAAACAGGATTACTGCAGCCAAGTGGTGTAGACTCAGATGTATGTGCTGTGGATGCACTCTCAGAGGTTCGCCAGAATGAATGAATGAATGAAGCAGGCCAAGAGGCAGATTTCATTGAGGACTTGATGAGATTTCATTGAGAGCAAATGATGTATATTCTGTGTTCTCCATGCTGAGAAATGCAGAGGGCACTCTAACACAGGAACAACTTGTGCCAAGGAAACAAGTGTACAATTACATGTCAAGCCTTGTATGTCAAGCGGTGGCAGGTTTTGAACCAACTGATGATAGAATCTGATGTGTGTTTTAGAGGTATCACTCTGATGGATCATTTCTCTACATGTAAAACTTTGAGGAGGAGAAAGAGGGCCTAAGACCTTCCAATCAGCAACACTTGTATCAATCAGATTTTTTTGTCAAATACATGCGCGTGCATACTTGGACATCCTTGCACCTAGAGAAGATGATAGAATGTGATTCATACAGTGGCTCACTTTCCACAGACTGAATTAGCCTCCTGAGCTTTTTGGATGGAATACCCCCAAGCCATTGTTTTTGCAGTTCATTGACTTAATTTTTAAAAATTTTTATTGAATTTATTATACACCTCAGTTCATGGCATGTATAATCGATCCCACATTTCCTGCCCTAGCTTTTTCATATAATTTCAAGATGTTGACTTGGGTTTCCTTTGATAATCTGAGTGTCAGTTGATATCTGACAGGGTCAGGCTATGTTTGCCTTTGGGGACCTTTCCTGAGCCACATTTATTTTCTGGTAAATTGTCATTCTGATTCCTAGACACTCTTGACAAACATTCTTTTGCCTTGCCATCTTCCTCAGTCAATCATTCTCACAGGCTCCATCGTTAGTTTCCTGTTTCTGACCATAATTAATGATAGCTATAAATGGAGTCCTGGTGTGGTGCTGTAGGATAAGCACTAGCAAGGTCGGTTTGAACTGCAAGGTTGGCGGTTCGAACTCACCAGCCACTCCTTGGGAACTCACCAGCCACTCCTAGGAAATCCTATACAGGGTCACTATGAGTTGAAACTAACTTGAAGGTGCTTAACAACAACAACCTAAGCATTGCACTGCTAACTGAAAGGTCAGTGGTTCGAACCCAGTAGCCTCTATAGGAGCAAGATTTACAGCCTCCAAAATCCTTTGAAGCAGTTTAACTCTGTCCCATGAGGAGCTCGGTAGTGTAGTGGTTACGAATCGGGCTGCAAACCTTAAGGTCAGCAGTTCGAAACTACCAGCTGTTCCTTGGGAGAAAGATGAGGATTTCTACTCCTGTAAAGATTTACAGCCGTGAAAACCCTGTACAGGGTCGCTATGAGTCAGAACTGACTCCACAGCCCATGATGACGATAAGGTCACTGGAGTCCTGGTGTGGCGCTGTGGGTTAATGCGCTGCACTGCAAAGTCAATTTGAACCTAAAGGTCAGCAGTTCAACCTCACCAGCTGTTCCTCGGAAACAGGGTCATGTGGGTCAGAACTGACCCCTATATGGGGTCATTGTGGGTCAGAACTGACTCGATGGCATTTAACAGCAACAATATAGGGTGACTATGAGTTAAAATCAACTCGAGTTGATTTGGTTTGGTGTACACTCCCTTTTAGTCTCTGGTGACATAGGGACTGTCATTGGGTCCTGACAGTTCCATGCTGCTTATCATGCCTGCTGTCATTTCTTAGCTCCTCCACTTACCAGTGTGTGACTTCAGGCAACTTCTTTTATCTTTCTGTGTCTCATTTCTTATTACAGAGTGGGCTTAATAATGGCACCCATAGTATTTTTGTGAGAATTAAGTAAATTAATTAATACTTGCAAAGTTATTAGAGAAGTGCCTAGCACATAATAAGCACCTACTAAAAGTTAGAAATTCCTAGGTAGCACAAATGATCAGGTACTTAACTAGTAGCCAAAAGGTTGGTGGTTTATATCCACCAGGCCTGGTGCTATGTTTCCAAAAGGTCACAGTCTTGAACACGTTGTGGAGCAGTTCTACTCAGCACACCTGGTTTGCCAGGAGTAAGAATCGACTAGACAGTAATCGAGAACTGTTATTGTTGTTGTTAGGTGCCATCAAGTCGGTACCAACCCATAGCGACCTTAGGCACAGCGGAACGAAACACTGCCCTATCCTGGGCCAACCTCACTACTGTTGTCACGCTTGAGTCCATCGATGGTGCCACTTGGCCAATCCATCTTGTTGGGGGTCTTCCTCCTTTTCTCTGACCCTCCACCTTACCAAACATGATATCCTTCTCCAGCGACTGGTCCCTCCTGACAATATGTCCAAAGTATGAGAGACGAAGTTGGCCATTGATAATAGCAATAACAATAATAATTATAATATTGTTTTAGACATATAAATCCCTGTTATATTTTTATTAATAATGGCACACAGTCAATCATAAAATATTCGTTCAAGGGTCAGGGAAGAAAGCATATTTCCTGGGCAGCATGATTGCCATCAGCTATAAGGAAGCAGCAGTCAAGAGATCAGACGACGTATTGCATTGGGCAAATCTGTTGCACAGGAACTTTTTAAAGTGTTGAAGAGCAAAGATGTTAGCTTGAGGACTAAGGTGCGCCTGACTCAAGCCATGGTATTTTCAGTAACCTCATATGGATGTGAAAGCTGGACAGTGAATAAGGAAGATCGTAGAAGAATTGATGCTTTGAATTGTGGTGTTGGAGGAGAATACTAAAAGTGCCATGGGCTGCCAAAAGAACCAGTAGATCTGTTTTGGAAGAAGTGCAGCCAGAGTGCACCTTAGAGGCCAAGATGGCTAAACTTCGTCTCTTATACTTTGGACATATTGTCCGGAGGGAACAGTCGCTGGAGAAGGATGTCATGCTGGGTAAGATGGAGGGTCAGAGAAAAAGAGGAAGATCCCCAACGAGATGGATTGGCCAGGTGGCATCATGGATGGCGTCAAGTGTGGCGGCGGTAGTGAGGTTGGCCCAGGATCGGACATTGTTTTGTTCTGCTGTGCATGAGGTTCTGACTCGATGGCACCTGACAACAACAACAACATAAGGAGAGAGGCATAAAGACCCTGGAGGTCATTTCCTGGCCAGTGCTCCTGTCTGTTAGGGAGACAATGGCTGCAGGTGGAGATGACAAGTTCAAGACTGACGGTACTGATAGGAATGGGAAGAGAATCTGGGTTCAGGTGAGACTGAGAAAATCTCAGTGGTCACCCTTGGACACAGGGTTCTTTTGGGGATCGTTTATATTCTTGAGGTTTGACAGCTGGCTAGATTTGAATGTTTTAAAGGAACATCTGACTTCATCTGATCTCATTTCAAGTCCCATAGGTAGAGGGCTGGGGAAGAAAACCAACCCTCACCAGTATCTGAAGGTTGTCCGTGGAGCCTGACACAGCTGACCCCTGCCTTCTAGGCAAAGGCCACCATGGAGCAGTGTGCATGCGTGGAGAGAGAACTGGACAAGGTCCTACAGAAGTTCCTCACCTACGGGCAGCACTGTGAGCAGAGCCTGGAGGAGCTGCTGCACTACGTGGGCCAGCTGAGGGCTGAACTGGCCAGCGCAGGTGGGTGTCCACCCTCTCAAGAGCCACTTGGTGACTAGGTTCTGGCAGGATAATGATTAAGACATGATACAATGATACAAAGCTGGTAAGTGCTGTCAAGTTGGTTCCAACTCTTAGCGAACCTGTATAAGGCTTCTGAGGAGCAGCAGATGGGTTCAAACCAACAATCTACGTTTAGCAGTTCAGTGCTTATTTCTTCAATACCACACCAGGACTCCACATGGATCCCTATTGTTGTTGTTGTTGTTAAGTGCCTTTGAGTCGGTCCCAACTCATAGCAATGCTGTATAGGGTTTCCAAGGAGTGGCTGGTGAGCTTAAACTGCTGGCCTTATGGTTCAAGTGGACCTTGCAGTCAGCACATTAAACCGCAGCACCACACCAGGACTCCACATTGATCTGTGGGCCTCCTCAAAAGGGAGTAATAGAAGTCTCTGAGCCACTTCAAAAGCCACCTAAAATTGGGAACTTACCTGAGATTATTTTCCTTTCAATTTTATTGTTCATTTTACTTCTTAAAGCCATTTTTTAAACATTGTAAAATAACTACAATGTTACAGAAAAGTCCCAAGAATAACAACCAAAAAAACCCAAAAACCCGCTGTCATCTTGACTCATAGTGACCCTATAAGACCCTAGGTTTACGAGACTAAACATCTTTACAGGAGAGTCTCATCTTTCAATGACAAATAGTGTAAAGAACTCAAATGTATCCTCATCCACCCGTATACACATCCAGATTCACCAACTGTGACTGTTTGGCAGAATTTGCTTTATCATCCTCTTGTATACTGTCATTGTTGTTTAGCTGTGTGAAAGCAAGTTGCCGACTTTGTGTCCCTTTGCTCCTTTCAGTGTGTATTTTCTAAGGTTAAGGGCATTCTTTTATAAAACTACAGTATAGTTACTGAAATCAAGGCATAAACCATTGATAGGATATTATCTAATGAATACAGTTCGTATTTCATTTTTTACTATTCTCCCAATACATTTCATAAAGTAATTTACTTTTACTTTCCAGTCCTGGATCATGCACTGCATTTAGTTTTTTGTTTCTCTTTAGGTTTTTAATTTAGGCCAATTCCTCTGCCCACCTTTTCCTTCCATGACAGTGACATTTTGAAACATAAAGTCAATTATTTTGCAAAACAACTCTCCACTTAGATTTGTCCGATGCTTCCTCATGATTAGATGCAGGTTTTATGTATTTTCGGGTGGGCTGGAGTACTTTTGAAGTGATATGTTCATCTCAGTTCTTCATATTAAGAAGCACATACTGTTGACTTGTTCTATTATCAGCGATGCTAACTTTGGTCATTGGTTAAGATGATGTATGCTTGGTTCCTCTACCATAAATTATTATTTTTTCTTTGTTATTAATAAGTAATTTGTGGGAAGATACTTTGAGACGATATAAATATCTTACTTGTCATCAAACTTCAACCCACTAATTTTAACACCCATGATGATTCATTTCTAAATCAAATATTACTATACTGGTTTCAACATGGTGATTTTTCCCTGCTTAATCTTTCCTTGCACATTGTTTAGGTGGCATTCTACTGTAAGGAAGAACTCTCCATTCACCCTTATTTATTGCTTGATTATCAATTCCGACTTGAAGATTCTTATTTTACTCACTGGGTTATTTATTTTGGTGTAAATTGTGCCAGATTTGACCAAAGGGCACTCCTTCAGCCTGGTTCCTATATTATTTTTTGTTGTTGTTAATTGAGATGAAATTCACCCTTATTAAAGTGTACAGTCATTGCTTTTTAATATAGTTACAGAATTATGCAACCATCTAATTTCAGAACATTTTCATCATCCCAAAAAGAAACCGTGTATCCATTAGCAATCACTTTCCATTCCTCCTTCCCCCTGCAACCCCCTAGCTACCACTAATCTACTTTCTGTCTGTTTCAGATTTGCCTATTCTGGGTAGTTCATATACATGGAATCATACAATATGTGACCTTTTGTGTCTGGTTTCTTTTACTTAGCAGAATGTTTTCAAAGTTCAGCCTTGTTGTATGACCAGATAAGATTCCATTGTACTCATCTGGATGTACCACATTTTATTTATCCATTCTTCTGTTGGTGGACATCTTCTGTTGTTGCCACCATCTGGCTATTGTGAATGGTGCTGCTGTGAGCATACGTGTTTATGCTCCTGGATGAACATTAATTTTCCTTTCTCTTGGGTGTATGCTTAGGAATAGAAATGTTAGATCATACAGTAATTCTGTAGGAGTGTAGGATAAGCATTGGATGGTTCGAACCCAACAGCTATTCCATAGGAGAAAGATGAGGCTTTCTGCTCCCACAAGATTTACAGCCTTGGCAACCTTATATGGGGTTGCTATGAGTGTCGGAACCGACTCAATAGCACTTAACAATAAAAATAGCAATTTTATGTTTAGCTTTCTTAGGAACTGCCAACCTGTTTCTAAAGAGTCTGCACCATTTTGGATTCCCACCAGCAATGTGTGAGGGTTCCAATTCTTCATATTCTTGTCAACACTTGTTATTGTTTATCTTTTTTTATGATAGCCATTCTAGTAGGTGTGAGAAGCCCTGGTGGTGCTGTAGGATAAGTACTGGACTGCTAACCACAAAGTTGGCAATTCAAACCCACAAGCCACTCTGCAGGAGAACGCTGACGCTCTGTTACTCCTAAGAGTTTTAGCTCTTATATTTATGCCGTTGATCTATTTTGAGTTAATTTTTGTATACGGTATGAGGTAAAGGGCCAGCTTCATTCCTTTGCACATGGAGATATGGTTTTCCAGTTTATTATTTCCTATGCCCTCCCAGCGTTTGAAAACAAACAAACAAAAAAACCACTTCTCTACTTCTGGTACAGTAAGATGTTCCTTTCTCCAAGGAACCCTGGTTCCTTTAGAGTGGGGGATGGTATTTGGAAACCAAGATCTGGGTTGCTATTGGATGTCATCGTTGCTAGGTTCTTTTAGTAGAAAAACTTCCTTATTTTTATCTTATCTGTTTATCTACCTATTTAAACATTTAATCTATTTCAAACTATGAGTTCATACTGATACCTCCAATTCCAATCCAGTATCAATTGATTCTTCCTAGACTTTCCCCCATTCCAGTTATATCTCCCTTCAAAGCAGTATGAAACCTGACTACCAATATCATCAGTATATTTTCTCATTTGTTCTATTTCTATGCAGTACATGCTATGTGATGTTTAGTGCCCTCAAGTTGGTTCCAACCCATAGCGACCTTGTATAGGGTTTCCACGGAACAGCTGATGAGCTTGTGAATTATGCCCAATACCACTGAGAAAAAGCAAATCTACTAGTTGTATTTTATAATTTTTTTAAAACTTTTTATTGTGAATTGAAGGTTTATAGAGCAGATCATCAATTTTACACTCAGCAGTTCATATACTTTGCTTCTTTACATGGTTGCAATCCCCTCCATGCCCCAACAGTTAACAGCATTCACTTTAACCGCTGCATTCCTCCCTGTGCCTCCTGCCACCCCCATCTTTCCTCTATCAACCTCCTCCGGTTGTATATTGTATAATACTTATTTTTGAAGAATATATGTACATAGAAAAACTTATACGTTCAAAAAAGAAATAGTGAAAAGTGAATGTCCTTTTCACCGCTGACTCCCAGTTCCTAAGTGTCTGGCCCTAAAAGCTACCCTTGTCCCTAGTTTCTCAGGTGTCTTCACAGATAACATCTGTATGAACACATAGTGATTTAAGCCTCAGAAACTCAGGGGAGAAGTTCTGCCCTGTCATATAGGATCACTATGAGTCAGCACTGACTTGATGGCAGTTGGGTTTTTTAATTGCTGAGAATATACACAGCAGAATATATGCCAATTCAACAATTTCTTTGTAAATTTAGTTATAATGCTTACATTCTTCAAGTTATGCAACATTCTCACCCCCCTTTTCTGAGTTGTTCCTTCCCCAGTAACCTAAGCTCTCTGCCACCAAAGTTTTCTATGTAGTGTTTTGAATTGCTGTTATCAATTTGATCCTGTATGATCACAAGATTTTTTCTAAAAAAAAAAACCAAACAAACCACAAAGCATAGCATAAAATACATACTTTCCTTCACCTTGATGGTTTTTCTTTCGCCTAAACAGTGTCTTTGACAATGTTCTACATCAGCACATAGAGTTCTGCCTCATTCTTGCTCATGGCTGCCCGACATTCCATTGTATGGCTGTGCCGTGTTACAATAAATGCCCAGGTTTCCTTGCTGTTTATTGATAGCATTTGTTAGCTGCATGAGTTAAAAACATTTTTTCCTTGCTGGTCAGACACGTTCATGTGCAGCTCTCTGTGCCCTTGGTTTAAAAGATACTATGTTTTGACTGAAGTGTGTTTACTGGGAGACTAGGTTAGATATGGAATTGCTGAACTAATAATAGTCAGTGGGGTCCTCTTGAGAAGGGGATTTGGGACATTCTAGATTCAAAGGCTTTGGTTTCCTGAGATTAGACGGGGATGTGACCAGGGAATGTGCACATTGTACCCCTCTAACCTGGCAGTGTAGCAGATGGTGAGGAGTGAGTAGAAGCTGGGGTTATGCAGGGCAGTGCTGCTGCTGGAAATGGAGTTATCATTGGATTTCTGCCCTGCCTCCCTTGAGTGGGTGGTGGCCTGACCAACGTCTCCTGTCAGAACTCATTCAGTTACAGGTGACAGAAGCCCAACTCAGGCTGGCTTAAACAAAGGGAAATGGATTCAGTGACAGTGGATCACGTGTCCAGACCTCCCGTCTCCAGGTGCTCACATGGTACCCGGCATCTTTGCTCGTCTCACTTTTGCGAGGCTCCACTCAGAGATTTTTGTCTGTGTAGCAGCTGGACAGAAAGAGCATTTTCTTCATGGCTTCCAGTCTCAGAGCTCAATGCTCACTGACCCTCTTGGGTCTTGTGCCCTTCCCTTCACCCAGGCGCTGACACTGAAAGAGGCATAGTGCTGGACCGGAAGAAGGGATGGTGCCCTGCTTCCCTCCTCTCTTCCAGGCCCCATGTGCTCTAGCTTGGCCATGGGGGTACAAACCACTGTACACTCAGCATCCTGAGTCAGAAATGTCCCTGAGCTTCCCTGGCAGGCCCCAGGCCTGTCTTGTGTCCTTTAGTTAATAGGAGATATTGATGTGTAGACAATGGTTTATGATTCAGAGCCTTTCATGTGTTATCTGACCTAAGATAATCTGGATCAGCCTAGCATGGTGATGAGAAGCCCAGGCTTTAGATATGTCACTGCTATGTGTTCTGGGCCAATTGAGAATCCTCAACTGTAGAACTCTGGGATACTAGGAGTATCCACTGCATGGCATGGTGCTGAGGGTTCAGTGAGCTAAAATACCAGGAGTATTTAACCCATGTTTATGTTAGCTGCTGTTGAGTCAGCTCCCAACTCGTAACACCTGTATACACAACAGTATTATATCATGTGAGCCACAGGATGGTCGAATGCCAGGCCTTTCTAGTCTGTCATAGTTTGGAAGCTCCACTAGAGCCTGTGCAGCGTCACAGCAACATTCATTGATAAACAAGTGGTGGCTACTCATGAGATACATGGAAAGTGATAATCTCACCACTGAACTGCCCTCATTAAAGCTATAGACCAAAAAAACAAACCAAACAGTTGCCCATTGAGTAGATTCCAACTAATGGCAATCCATGTGTGCAGAGTAGAACTGCTCCATACGGTTTCCAATGGCTGTGAGCTTTTGGAATCAGAGTTCCAGACCTTTCTTCTGAGGTGCCTCTGTGTAGCTTTGAACCACCAACCTTTTAGTTAATAGTTACATGCTTAACCTTCTGCACCACCTAGGACCCCAACCATCACAACAATCTACAAGGCCAGTAATATTGCCCCCTATTTTATAGATGATGAAATGAAGGTTCAGAGAGAACTGGGTTGCCCTAAGCCATGCAGTTCAAAAGAAGCAGGACCAGAAATAGAATCTGTCCTAGGTATTCTAGTCCTGAGTTACAGCTGCCTGCCCGGCCACCACGCTGGTGGTTAGAGGAAGTAGAGACAAGGCCTGCTGTGGAAGTAGGTGCTCGAGTCAGCCTCCTCTGCATCCTGACTCAGTGCCAGCATTTCTACACAGCCCTCCAGGGAACGCCTCTCTCAGCTACCCTCTCCTTGGTGATGTCCCAGTGCTGTCGGAAGATCAAAGACACCGTGCAGAAACTGGCTTCGGACCACAAGGACATTCATAGCAGCGTCTCCCGAGTGGGCAAAGCCATAGACAGGGTGAGCATGTGGGCAGCCCCAGAACTGGGTCTGGGAAGTATGTGGAAGGCTGCTCTGCAGTTGGTGAGTCCAGGGGCTCGGCGGGCAGGCAGTCACAAGGCCCTGTATTTCATCCTTGTCAGAACTTTGACTCTGAGATTTGCGGTGTAGTCTCCGATGCAGTGTGGGACTCCAGGGAAAAGCAGCAGCAGATCCTGCAGATGGCCATTGTGGAGCACCTGTACCAGCAGGGCATGCTCAGTGTTGCCGAGGAGCTGTGCCAGGTAACGCCTGTGCTGCTTGACATGATCATTGTGTCTAAATCATTCTTATTGTTGTCAGTTACTGCCCAGTTGACCCCTGCTCATGGTGACCCCATGCACAATGAGACTGAATCATTGTGATCCATAGGATTCTCATTGGCTGATTTTCCTAAGAAGATCAACAGGCATTTCTTGCAAGTCCATCTTAGTTTTAAAGCTCCGCTGGATGTTGCTCAGCATCACAGCTACACACAAGCCAACAGTGACAGGCAGGTGGGGGCTGTGCATGTGTCCGGGATCAAGCCTGGGTGTGTTGTATAGAAGGTGAGAACACTATCACTCAACACCGCTGCCACCAATGACATCCCTGTTGTTTTTATGTTTTTGAGGAAAATAGACACAACAAAACAAAACCCATCCAACAAATTTTTATGTACATTTATTGACAATGGTTGCATTCGTCACTTGTGTCACTATCCTCCCTATCTATATCCCTATTGTTTCACCACCATTAACTTAAACTCTTTTCTGCTCCTCAAAGCTCTTGTCTGTGCTTTAGAGTTATTGCTGTCCATTTAAGCTCATATAGGTAACTCTTCAAAAGAACACACTGCTTAAGACGAACATTCTTCATTAAATGAGCTAATATATTTTGTTTAAAGATGCTTTTGTGGTATAGTTTCACTTCAAGGCTGAAAAGTTGTTTTCAGGCAATAGATTGGGAGTCCTTTCAGTATTGATCTTGTTGTTTTTGTAAGTACCGTCGAGTCAGTTCCGACCCATAGTGACCCTGTTTGGGTCTTAAGGAGTGGCTGGTGGGTTTGAACCACTGACCTAGTGGTTCAAACTGACCTTGCAATATCAGTATAGTCTGTTATTTTAAATAGATTTATTTTAGAAAGGAAATCAGTCTTTTTTTGTCATAAGTAGAAGGAACCCTTCTATTATATAATGAAGTCTGTTATATAATGAAATTAGTAATTTCTAGTTAGAGTTAGTTGTCAGCCAAGGGCCCCAGTTCAGGCCTGATACTAAAATATTTCTGTATTGTCTTTTTAATTAAAAAGGGTACTTAATAAAGGACAGTAGCACTTGTCAGGTGTTACGGACACACTGATGAATGTGTCAACGAGAATATACATTAATTAATGTGATCAGGACTGGCAAAGAACAGAAGGGGCATCATTTTTTCACCATGTTCGTGTTCCTCATTGCAGGGTTTGGGCCTGTCTCTAGCACCACGGTGGTGGGTGAGTTTTGTGGGCCACATTCAGGGACACGCAGCAAGCTGCAGTCTGCCTCCGCAAAATGAAAAGGGAAATGAGAGGGCCCAAATGGCTCCTGACACTAATCTTGCTCTCTCCAACCTGTTGTGGAGGATGAGGATTAATCACATGCAAAGTGCAGAATTCTGGAAACATTCTCCTCCAGTGGTGGGGCCTCTCTACCCTTGTAGGAATCAACACTGAATGTGGATTTGGACTTCAAACAGCCTTTTCTAGAGTTGAATCGAATCCTGGAAGCTCTGCATGAACAAGACCTGGGCCCTGCCTTGGAGTAAGGAGGTTGTTGGGGTGGGCCAGCTGCTGATCTCCCAGAGAGAATCGCTTTCTGCCCTGACTCCCAAGGGACAGGCTTGTGGTGATCTTCATTTCACCCAAATGTAACCTGACATGCCTCCGGGGGCCTCACATAGTTCTAGAAGCCCACTTAGGTCCCCGCTCTGCTGCCAGGCCTAACCTGACCCCTTTCTTCCCAGATGGGCTGTCTCCCACAGGCAGCGCCTATTGGAGCTCAACAGTTCCCTGGAGTTCAAGCTGCACCGCCTGCACTTCATCCGCCTCCTAGCAGGTGGTCCTGAGAAGCAGCTGGAGGCCCTCAGCTATGCCCGGCACTTCCAGCCCTTTGCTCGGCTGCATCAGCGTGGTACGTGCACGGAGTGTGGATGTGGGGGTTGAAGCTGCCAGCTCTGGCAGGTTTGTTGGGTTGCCAGTCCCACCCCCACATCCACCACAGGTCTGTGTAGATGCCCTCTCCGTCTGGAGACCTCCTTGGCCCCTCATTGCAAGATGAACTCAAGCTCCTTCCTTGTCTGCTTCTACCACACCTTTGAGTTTACTGTCAGGCCAGTCTCCTGCCACATACACACACTCACCCCAAACTTCTGCTGCCCACAATGTGCCAGGCCCTCCTGCCACTTTGCTTTAGCACATGCCTCTCCCTGTGCCTAGCAAGTTCCTGCCCGTTTCCATAGACTCAGCTCTGGCACTTCTGCGGCATCCTCCCCAACCTTCTTGTCTGACACGAGATTTCCTGAACCTGACTTTTGAGAGTCTGTCCCCAGGAGTAACCACCCACACTGTTATAGCTCTACTCATATGTTACATTTCAGTTTAAGTTGAAAAACCAAGCAAATGTTCTTAAATTCTTTAGCTAGCTAGTGCTGCTGCCTCCTGAAAAGTAGTGATCCTGAGGTCTGCTCTTATTAAAAGGCAGATTAGCTAGCATTGGTGAAAATAAGACATGGCTGCCAGCCTAGTATTTGCTCCTGGAAGCACCCGGAAGGAAGGGGAGATACAAGAAGGGGCTTGTTGAGGGATCCTGTTGGTTAATGCCTATCCTTGTCCCAAATGAGCAGGCCACTAGTGGTGCCCAGGCTGCCTTCCTGTCTGTGAAGGAGAGGCCCCTGGATGCCACCTCTCCCCTGGATTTTTTGGAAAACCAGTTCTGCCTGAGGGCACCGTAATCCCAGGCCTGCCACCCGTCAGGGGATGGGCCCCACCCTAAACTGCCTTCCTGGTTGCATTATAGAGATCCAGGTGATGATGGGTAGCCTAGTATACCTACGACTGGGCTTAGAGAAGTCACCCTACTGCCACCTCCTGGACAACAGCCACTGGGCCGAGATCTGTGAGACCTTCACCCGGGATGCTTGTTCCCTGCTGGGGCTTTCCGTGGAGTCCCCCCTCAGTGTGAGGTAGGACCCAATCCTGTGGGGGCAGCAAAGATGGGAGCATGCAGAGGGGTGCCCTGCAGACCCTGCTGGGTGCCAGGCATAGAGCTCAGTGCCTCCACAGACCCACTTAGGCTCTTAAGTCATTTTTGGAGATTGGAATTACCCGTTTACAAAGGAGCTAGAGTGAAAAGTGGTAGCCTCAGGTCCCCATGAGGTCAGTGGTAGCCAAGGTTCTCATTTTCTAAGGCCTCACTCGTTCTTTACGTAGGACTCTCCTGCAGGACACCTCTATTCTCACCACCTCATCTTTGGAAAGGACCACTCTCCTTTAGGCAGACAGGAGAGTGCCTGGGTAACGTTTAGAACTGTAGCTTGAGGCCTTTTACATTCTCTCTTACACAGCTTCAGTGACCTGAGGAGTTAGCCTCATTCTACAGATGAGGAAACCATGGTCAATATAGGACTAACTTGCCTAAAGCCTCATAGGGAATTTACAGGCAATGGAATCCTACTCTCTGAGCAGATTCTCCACTACAGTGGGTATTCATCACACAGACTGACTTTGAAATCTAATACCCCACCCCATTCCAATAGGAGCCTCCACTCTCTTTTACTTGTTATGCACTCAGGCACTTTAGATAGGATGGTTCCATGTTATGCAGGACTGCCCTATACATTACAGGATATTTAATATGCATGTTCCAGCCAGTAGCACCTCCCCCCCCCCACACACACACCATTCCTAAGTGCCCTCAATATTACTGTGAGTAAGGTTCTGGGTGACAACAAATAGGCCCATACAGGCAGGCTGGATTTCAGTCACACCAAAGATTTGTGAATGGAATGAGCAGACAGCTGCCTATGGATTTCCCTTTGAGTTCTCAAATCTAGAGTTAAATATACAAAACTATGTATGTGATAGAAGAGATTTTCAAAGACTGATTTGATCATAGGTCATGTTACAAAGCAATCCCAAGTCACCTGCTGATGACAGGGCATGTGGATCCTTGTGGGTCACAAGTCTCCCAAGGACTGAGCCCACCCAGCCCATTCTTTGTTCCTCAGCTTTGCCTCTGGCTGTGTGGCCTTGCCCGTGCTGATGAACATCAAAGCTGTGATTGAGCAGCGGCAGTGCACTGGGGTCTGGAGCCACAAAGATGAGCTACCGGTGAGGCCCAGTGAGGGCTGGGGGCAGAAGGGACTTAGGGAACCCAGCTAGGCAGGATGTGGGGCTCACCCTGTGCCTGGCCTCCCCAGATTGAGATCGAGCTAGGCATGAAGTGCTGGTACCACTCCGTGTTTGCCTGCCCTATCCTCCGCCAGCAGACGTCAGACTCGAACCCTCCCATTAAGCTCATCTGCGGTCATGTGATCTCCCGTGATGCACTCAACAAGCTCATTAATGGAGGAAAGTAAGTTCCCCATGGTTGGCTGCACCTGGGGTGGCCGTCCTGCACTGGTTGACCCGAGGCCTCCTTGGTTCTCCTTTTGTAGGCTCAAGTGTCCCTATTGTCCCATGGAGCAGAACCCAGCAGATGGGAAACGCATCATCTTTTGATTCCTGCCAGGAAAGAACTCTGTTGAAGGGCCTTTCACACTTGAGCCTTGGTTGGGTGGCTGGCTTCAGTAGTTTGTGTTCATTTCAGAGCACCGAACTGAAGTGGGTGGGGCAAGTCCCTTGGGGAGGGAGTGAGGAGGGAAGGAGGGAGGTGGACCACCCTATACTGACAGCTGGCTCCTCTGCAGGTGCAGGCAGACAGGGAGGTGCCAGCCACTGTCCTGCTCTATCCCTTCCTGTTAATATCTGCTGTTGACCTACTAGCTACTGATAGAGTAGCAAAGGACTTGGCCATCAGCAAACAGCTTTCCATGCTGGCCCTCAGCCAGACCCTTACTGCCATGCCAATGCCATGTCTCCTGTGGCCTGAGCCCATGGTTACCCAGTGGTGGCCACCCCTCCCCCTGTATACCACCATGACTGTATGTATCCTTCTCCCACTGTAAATAGTCCAAGTGAGAACTGAACATCATTGTTTTCTACCTACAAGTAAATATATTTGCAACCCTTCTCCTTAACTCTCCTGGCCTGCCCTTAGCTTCATTGCCAAGTGATTCAATCTACTGTCTACAAGATAGGAGCCCTGGTGGTGTTGGGGAATAAGCATTGGGCTGCTAATGCAGGGTCAGCATTTCAAACCTACCCACTGCTCTGAGGAAGAAAGATGGGGGTGTCTGCTCCTGTAAAGATTTAGAATCTCAGAAACTCTAAGGAGCAGTTCCAATCTGTCCTGTAGGGTTGCATGATTCAGAATTGACTCAGTGGCAGTGCGTGGGGTTCATAAGGTCCCCCAGCAAGGCCTCACTGCAGCTGTGACAGGAGTATGGTTGGCCTGTGCTCAGACAGAAAGTAAACAAGGCAGAAGTCGAAGGTTTTGAGGAAACACCTGGAGGATGCTAGACCAGAACAAGGTGCTTTTTACACATGGGGATCTTAATCCCTTCATATTGTCTGTCAGCATGAGGATTTAGGAAGATGACATGACTTGCACTTGAAGGTTTGTAGCCTGCAGAGGAGAGAGCTTGGAGCACAACCAGATCTGATGCCCAAGCCCACACCAGTTCACTCCAGGGCAGACCACTATGAGTACAAAGCGTTGGGTCTTCGACAATAAAAACAAGTACCTTTGGGTTTTTGACATTAAAAAGAGACCCTAAGTCTAAAGTTTCTGAATGAAGGGAGATCAGATTATCAGGGGCTATGACCCTGAACAACAGAGTTGATAGTCTGGGGTTTGGTGTTCAACTTCATGTCCCTATTTCAAGTTTACTGTCTAGGTAAGTAAACTGCTTCCTTAAGTTTCACAGTGACACTGAAGACTCCTGGCAGAAGAAGAAAGGTGAACACAGGTCATCTCTGACACAGGGGCTGCAGGTTTCTGTGAAGTGGGCTCTGTGCTCCACCACCTTGCCTTGCAGCTGTCAGCTCCCCACTTGGGAAGTGGGAGTTGCAAGCCGTGGGGGAGCAGAAGAGTTCATTCTCAGCTTAAGCCCAAGTACCCAGACCTGGGTAGCTGAGCCAAGTACTAAGCCCTTTTAGAATCCTTCAGGGGTTCTCTAGTGAGAACAACCACTTCCGCCCTTTCCTGCCTACCAACTCTGTGGCCCCACCAGCAGCTGCTGCTTTAAAAAAAAAACAAAAACAAAACAACAACAAGCCAACACCCACAGACTTACATTTTCATTTTAGCATTTACTTCCCCCACATCAAATTCTTGGAACTGTCTTTATGTAAGCACACCAGGAAACAGTGCTGGTTGAGAAGATGCTGGCGTTATCCTCGTGAAATAGCTATTGGAGCTGCCTGGGAAGAATACATGCCTCAGGCAACCCAGGAGATGCTGGCAGTGTGGGTAGCAGGTTGGCCCACTGCCTGCCCAATAGTATCCAAAGCAGGTGCCTGGTTGCTGCTGAGTCCTTCACAGTGGTGGGGGCAGGGCTTGGACCTCCTCAAAGCACTCATCATAGGCTTCCTGGTACTCCTCATGGGGCTTGACCATTATCACACAGGTAGGGCGCTTGGAGCCGGCTGCTGCTCCCAGATCCTACAGAGAAAGAGTTTGGCCACATAACCTATAAATAAGGAGTCACAAACTGATGGAGAAAGGCCCAATCTGGTCCACACACAGGTTCTGTTGAGTTCATACTATGTTTAAAACATTTCAAATTTTGTGTTTAAATAACTCAGCAAATTTTCAAGCCACAATATAGCAATACTGGCCTACATTCCCACCTGGGCAGTGACTGGGCTCTCAGTGACACAGGCAAGGCCTGTGTTCTCCAGCTGACCCCTAACCCCTATGACTCCAGACCTGGCCCTGCTATGGAAGGATAAGGACAGCTGTATGTAGCTCCCTAAATACCTGCCCTGAGCACCCAGCTAATGGGGCTAACATGGATAGCATTTCCATTTACAAAGCACCTTCAAGCATACCTTCCATTTTCATTCTTGCAGTTCAGAATAGGGATCCCATCCTGCTTGACAAGAAGGCAGCAGTAGTGCACAGAGGTAACTTATCGTAGCCTCAACAGGTGATAGTACTAAGAATGGGCCCAGGCCTGTCTGCACTACAGAGCTCAAGTGCTTTCCCATGAGGTGACCTCCTCCCCAATACTGACCAACATTAGCGGGGTCTTGTGCTCCTTACCGTTTTAGAGGGGATATAGACATAGGGCAAGTTCCGGTCCTCACACATAACTGGAAGGTGGCAGTATACCTCAACAGGTAGTGTGTCTCCTGCCAAAACCATGATACTGAAATGAAAAAAGTCATGGTTATCTCTAACTTGTTCTTTCCTTCAATTCAGCGTTAAGTGCTACCTCGTGGATAGGCCTTGGGAGTACAGAGAAAAATAAGATGGTCCTGTCCTCAAGACCCATGTATTAATGTGGGAATGTAGACCTCTAACACGGGTGCAAAACTGCATTCGGCTGAGCACATTTGAGGAGATGGTTTTTTTTTTTTTTTTCACCACAATTTGAACAGTATCTCTGACCCTAAGAAAGTTTAAGAACCCCTGAGCAGTAGAAGCTGACATGGCAGCATGATGGCACCAAGTGGTATAGTGCTGGGAGAGGTAACTGTGGTAGGGGCCACAAGGAGTAAGTAAATGCTCTGCTCTCCTTGGACACTCAGAAAAAGGCTGCCGCTAAGGAGGCAGTGCTTGAACTGAAGGCTAAAAGATAAATGTCATCAGGCAACCCCGGGGAGCAAGGGCACTAGGGATTAAGAACACATTTAAGGCTGAGAAGCAGAATGGGACCATGTATCTACCATAGGGGTTATTGGCCACCTCGCATGGAAAAAAAGGCTGAAGAGACTGAAAGGGGCCACTCCTGACTGAGGGCCTTTAGTGCTAAGACTAAAACATGGGCTCTGTCCCATAAGTGACAGGAACCACAAAGGATATGACAGTGAACTCCAGGCTTCCCAAGATTTGTCTTGGGGTTCTAGGCAACCTGAAGACACACAGAGAGTTTGTGACAGGAGTGGGTGACAGGAAACAAGCCTTTGTTCAAAATGCTGCTGTTGCATTCTTGGCCTCTTTGCAGGAACCTCCTCTTTAAGTGTTGATGTTTCTCACAGCCTGGTTCTTGGCTCTTTCTCTTTCAATCCGATCTCCCTGGCTGAAGCATCCAGAGCCATGACTTAAACTGCCGCCTATGTGCTGACAACTCTCAAATCTGCCCTTTCTAGACTGGTCCATCTTTCAAGCTCTAAGCCCTAAAGCCCATCTGTATGCTAGTTCTGCTGAGGGGTACTGTGGGCCAAGATGTGTATCTCAAAAAACTAAAACTAAATTTGTGATCTTCCCACACCAACCTGGCCCTCCCTTACTGTTGGTTATCTCAGTGAATGGCCCCAGGCCTGCTGTCCATTTGGTTGTTGTTAAGTGCCATCTAGTTAGTTCTAGGTTTGCCAAGGAGCAACTGGTAGGTTTGAACTACTAAACTTGAGGTTAGCAGTCCAGTGCTGACCCTACATCACTATACCATTTGGCTGGGTAAGCCAAGATCCAGAAGTTTTGTCAATACAGCCATATCCTAAATTCTCTCAAACCCACCCACTTTCATTTTCTCCTCCATTGCCAACCTAATCAAAATCTCTCCTCTTTCCCCCCAACCCCCTTCTTGCCTCTCTTAATCCTTTCTTCAATTGAAAAATGCTAAGGTAGAAATAGAATCAGGTAACTCCCTGGTTTTGATCCTTCAGTGGCCCCTAAAGATGCTTACCATGGTTCACAGGCCCAAGACAGCAAGGCCTCTGCTGGCCACTATCCTCCTGCCCTGCAGCCTTTGTACAGGCCCCTCTTCTGACTTGAACCACCTCTTCCAACCCCCTCATACCTCCATTAATTACTAGATCTCACTTCAAATGAAACTAAGACTCCCAATTGTACCTCAAATTCCCCAACCTTATTTATTTCTTGAGTACTTAGTGTGCCAGATAACTGGGGATAAAAATGGGGAAGGAGATTGATGGGAGATGGGCTATTATCAAATCTTATGGTTTGGCCTCTGTGGGATGTATCTGGAATAAAAATGTATATCCAAACTTCAAATTCGGATAAACTCCAGAAAATAAGCAGGGGTATGAAATCACTCACTGCATTTCCTTCATGGTTATCACAATTTGTAATTATGTTCTCATTCAATGTCACTGTATCCTTTAAAGCAGGGTGCTTGGCAAAACCATCAAAAAACAGGTGCTCAGTGAACGGGGTGCCATGGGCTAATGCATCAGACATCAAAGTCATCTGAACTACAAGGTCGGTGGTTCAAGCTCATCAGCTGCTCCTTGGAAACCCTATATAGGGTTGCTATGTGCTGGGATGGACTTGACGGCACTTAACAATAACAACAACAACAATGAAGGGGGAAGCGGGTGACTGTTAGGTGCCATTGAGTCGGTAGCGACTCATAAACAACCCTATGCACAACAGAATGAAATACTGCCCGATCCCGGGCCTACCTCACTACTGTTGCCAAGCTTGAGTCCATTGATGCTACCATATTGCCAATCCATTTTGCTGGGTGTCTTCCTCTTTTTCTCTGACCCTCCATCTTACCAAGCATAGTATCGTTCTCCAGTGACTGGTCCCTTCTGACAATATGTCCTAAGTATGAGAGATGAAGTTTGGCCATCCTGGCCTCCAACGAGCACTCTGGTTGCACTTATTCCAACACAGATCTGTTGGTTCTTTTGGCAGCCCATGGCACTTTCAGTATTTTCCAACACCATTTAACTCAAAAAACTGAATTCTTCTACAGTCTTCCTTATCCACTGTCCAGCTTTCGCATGCAGATGAGGTTATTGAAAACACCATGGCTTGGTCAGGAGCACCTTAGCCCTCAAGCTGAGTTCTTCAACACTTTAAAAAGGTCTTGTGCAGCAGATTTGCCTAATGCAGGATTTCTTTTGATTTCTTGACTGCTGCTTCTATGAGTGTTGATAGTTGCTCCAAGAAGAATGAAGTCCTTGACAACTTTAATCTTTTCTCCATTGTTAAGAATGTTGTTTACTGGTCCAGCGGTGAGATTTTTGTTTTCTTTACATTGAAATGCAATCCATACTGAAGGCTGTGTTCTTTGATCTTCATCAATAAATATTTTAAGTCCTCTTCATTTTCAGCAAGCAAGGTTGTATCATCTGTATGTTGCAGGTTGTTGTTGTTGTCATGTGCCATCGAGTCGGAACCGACTCATAGCGACCCCATGCACAGCAGAACGAAACAATGTTCGATCCTGGGCCAACCTCACTACCGCTGCCACACTTGAGTCCATCAATGATGCCACCTGGCTGATCCATCTCGTTGGGGGTCTTCCTCTTTTTCTCTGACCCTCCATCTTACCCAGCATGGTATCCTTCTCCAGTGACTGTTTCCTTCTGACAATATGTCCTAAGTATGAGAGATGAAGTTTGGCCATCCTGGCCTCCAAGGAGCACTCTGGTTGTACTTCTTCCAACACAGATCTGTTGGTTCTTTTGGCAGTCCATGGCACTTTCAGTATTCTCCTCCAACACCACAACTCAAAGGCATCAATTCTTCTACGATCCTCCTTATTCACTGTCCAGCTTTCGCATCCATATGAGGCTATTGAAAACACAATGGCCTGGGTCAGGCGCATCCTAGTCCTCAAGCTGACATCTCTGCTCTTCAACACTTTAAAAAGTTCCTGTGCAGCAGATATGCCCAGTGCAATTCGTCGTATTGCAGGTTGTTAGTGAGTCTCTAATTCATTCTGATCATAGCGTCCTCTGAGCTCGTGTAAATGACATACAAGTATCCGTACTAAGTGTTAACCTACTGCTTTGTTATCATCTCACATGAAGGAATCAATCCATCTGACTTTTACGTTATTAAGTGCCGTCGAGTAGGTTCCTACTCATAGCGACCCTGTATAGGGTTTTCCAGGAGTGGCTGGTGGGTTTGAGCCGCCGATCTTGTGGGGCTTAAACCAAAACCAAACCTTATGCTATCGAACTGATAGCTTCCTATTCAGGGTTTCCAGGCTGTAAATCTTTACAGGAGGGAGAAATTCTCATCTTTCTCCCGGGAAGCAGCTGGTGGTGGGTTTGAACTGCCGACTTTTCGGTTAGCAACCCAGTGCCTAATCCACAGCCACACCATTTTCCGTTTAGAAATACGAAACCCGGTGGGGAGGAGGAGTCTTACCCTTTTTCACCTTTGTTAATAAACTTCTGAACCTCCTTCACGCCGCGCCGAATCTGCTTCTGTTTCACCGCTGCAAAGACAGAAGAGTCAGTCGGAGGCTTCCGCCCACCACGCCTCCCGCGCCCCGGCGTCCGCCGCACCTTTCTTAATGCACTTGTAAAGCTTTCGCGTGAGGCGGCGGGAGGCCAGGGGCTGCGCGATGGGGTTCAGGTTAACCAACAGCTCATGGTAAGTGCGCTCTCCGCCGGACGCCTCCACCGGAGCCTCGGACCCATCGGGATCTGACTTTATTTTAGTCATTGCAGTGGCAATGAAACCTACAGCAGGCTTCCCGAAGGCGAACTCACGCGGTTAAGTGCTGCGGAAATTACTTCCGGGTCGTCCCACAGTGCGGGCAGCCTGCCGTACGCCACAACCAATTAGGAACTCGATTTTTAAAAAGTCTCCAATTCAGGCCAATCGTTTACGTTCAGTTTTTTAATTAACTGTAGTTAATGGCAAGGGCGGAATCATTGCCGAAGGGAGCGGGTCGCTCTTATTGGACGGAACGAACTGGGGGCGGGGCCCAAGGGGTGGGGCGGGGATAGATCTAGCCTTCCTCTCGTACGAGCTTAGAGTGTCGCGGGACTTGGAATCGGAAATGGAGGCAGTATCTGTCGGGGCGTGGCCACAGCTGGGGTTGGGGTCCTCTTCCGTAGTGCTGGATATCTGACCCTAGTGGAAGAATCCGAAACCTGTGCTTAGTGTGATTCCGAACCAGCTTGATTAAGGTCTGATACCTCAGGTGGGCAATTCGGAGCCCCGTCAGATGCCGGGTCCTGAGTCGGTACTGGGTGGTGTGTAAATGCTAAAGGTAAAAGTCTGACACTGCTAATGGTTTCTTCCATTTTTGCGTAAGCTCTTTTCTTTTCCTTTCTCTTTCGAGGTCCCAGTTGCACACCTATAGGAAGAAAATACTAAGCAAAAAATGGCCCTGCTCGTTGACTGCTTTTTCCCGATAGTCCCGGGGCTCACTCCCTCTCTTCCTGCAGGGTATCTGCTCAAATGTCACCCCATGGTAGAAGAACCCCTCATCACCATATCCAAAGTTACAGCCCCTTCCAGCCTCCCACCAGCATTCCCTAACTCTTTTATTTTCCTTATCGTTCTTACTACCTTGCTTGGCAGTACAGACAAATCACTGAGAGAGCTGGGACTGAAGGACAAGGCCGCTTGAGCACTAAAAATTGGGAGGAAAAGGCAATTGGAGCTGAGATTTGGGGCAAGTGGGTGTGAGAGAGCAGTTTAAAAATGGATTTGTAGAGAACTGGGACGGAAAGGCTGATCAAGAGAGCTGGATGGATCCTGGTATCCCTGACATAGTTCTTTGTCTTGAAACCAAACAAAAAACAGCCAGTTGCATCAAGTGACTTTTGGCTTATGATGGCCTCGTGTGTGTCAAGAGTTTAACTGTGTTCCATAGGATTTTCAGTGGCTGTTTTGGGGAAGTAGATTGCCAGGACTCTCTTTCCATGAGCCTATGCATGGATTTGAACTGCCGTTTAGTTAGTAGCCAAGCACTTAACCTTTTTTTTTTTTTTTTTTTTAAAGTTTTTATTGTGAATTGAGTGATAGTTTACATGGGGGAACATCAGTTTTGCAGTCATCCTATCATATTCGTTTCATTGTAATGATTACAATCCCCTGCATGCTTCATCATTCAACAGTATTTGCTTCTATTCCCTCTGTATTGTTTTGTTTTTTTTGGATGTGCACCAAAACACTCAGGAATATACAGTCATTCAAAGGGCACACCCTGCAAGCCTGTTCTCCCTCCCCCTCCATGGCACACATCCCCTCTCCCTCCACGAGCACTTAACCTTTTGTACCACCCAGAGACTCTTTCTTGTCTTGGAACACATTGGATGAATACTAATTAAATAATTTCTGCCAGTTAATTACCTCTGGACCTCTTTAAAGGATTTAAGAACAAAGATGTCATTTTTAGAACTAAGGTGTGCTTGATCCAAGCCATGGTATTTACATTTGCCTCATATGCATGTGAAAGTTGGACAATGAATAAGGAAAACAGTAAAAGAACTGATACATTTGAATTATGGTGTTGGTGAAGAATGTTGAGTACCGTGGACTGCCAGAAAGCAAATAAATCTTTCTTCAAAAAAGAACAGCCAGAGGTGGAGGCAGAGATGATGATGTGGAGAGATGGAACAGCTGGAGACTTTAGACCCAGAGAGGGAGAGGGGCTATGTGCTGATGACTGGGGTGCAGGCTTGCAAGGTATACCCTATGGAGGGGATTGTAACCATGGCAATGAAACGATGTACGATAGGATGAATGTAAAGCTGATGTTCTCCCATGTAAACTATCACATAACTCACAATAAAACATTAAAAAAAAAAAAGCACAGCCAGAATATTGCTTAGAAATGAGGATGGCTTTGTCTCTTACTTGTTCTTTGATCATGTTGTCAGGAAGGACCAGTCCCTGGAGAAGGACATCATGATTAATAAAGTGGAGGGGGAGTAAAAATAGGGAGACCCCCAATGGGCTGGACTGATATAATAGCAGCAACAATGGACTCAAACTGAACAAAAGTGTGAGGATGGTGCAGGACAGGGCAGTGTTTCATTCTGTTGGTTGAAATGAATTGGAACCAACGGGAAGGCACCTAACAATTGCCTTTGATTATTCTATGGTTACTGTTCATGCCATTGAGTTAGTCAGTTCCACTCATAGTGACCCTGTGTAGGGTTTCCAAGGAGCAGCTTGAACCACTGACCTTGTGGTTAGCAGCCTAGAGCTTATCATATAATGCTACACTAGGCTCCTATTTGGTGGTAGGTCACTTTTGTGGTGATATGTTGTTAAGTGCCATCCAGTTGGTTTTGACTCATAGGGACCCTGTATAGAGTTTCTGAAGAGCAGCTGGTGGGTTTGAACCACTGACCTTGTGGCTCAAACTGACTTTGCAGTGCAGCACATTATCCTGCAGTGCCAGAAACTGGAACTTTAGAAGAGTGTGAGACACCATGGGGTTGGACAATTGGTCCAACTTAAAAAGTGACTTTAAATTTTTTTTGCTTTGTAACGTCTTGAGGTGGCCTCTTCCGGAGTCTTAAGTTGACAAATCACTGCCACCTTTTACCTCACTGCTGACAACTTTGCAGAACCATTTTCCACCCCACAACCTCCTATGCCATCCTCTCTCCTTGACCGTCCTGGAAGAGCAGTTCTGCTCCTCACTGGGGGTCCTCCCCACATGGCCTGCGAAGCCTGTGAGACCAGCCTTGAACCCATAGCTGTCAGACCTCACAGGACTTCCTGTTCCTGTTCCCAAGGGACATCCCTATATAACAGTTTTAGCACTATGTTGGTGGTGGTGTGTGCTGTTGAGTCACTTCCCACCCATAGTGACCTTGCATAGGGCTTCTGAGGCTGTAATTCTTTAAGGGAGTAGAAAGTTTCATCGTTCTCCCGCATAGCAGTTGGTGGATTTGAACTGCTAACCTTGCAGTGAGTGGCTCACCACATAAACCCATATACAACTAGGACTCCTTTTAGCCTATGTTGTTGTTAAGTGTCATCAAGTCTGTTCTAACTCATAGCAATCATGTATAGCGTTTCCAAGGAGTGGCTGGTAGGTTTGAACCACCAATCTTATGGTTTACAGTAGGACTGTTAGAAAAATGTACCAGGGTCATAAAGATGAGACATGTTGCATATAAGTGCATGGGACCTGATGAACTTTGTTCAGGGAAGTGATGAAGAAATTCATCCTAGAGAAATCCAATTCAAACAAATTTTGTTGATTGGAGACCATGACCCCACAGAGCCCGGTTCTAAAGGCCCCTTAGTTCTTATGAGGAAGGAAAGAAATGAACGTTTATGTGCCCAGCATATTACATATAATAAGTAATTCATTCAATGCTCATCAAAAATGCCATTATTCACCATTCACTATCTGCTAAAGCTCAGAAAGATGAATCGCTCAGTCCAGCTCACACAACAGGATTTGAACCTCAGTCTACTTGTCTCCAAGTCCAGACTCTCCCCGTACTCGGGGAGTTGGTAGTTAACTTTCCCTCAAAGGTTATGAAATGTGACTGACAGTAAAAGAGGAGGAACTTCATTTGGGCCAGGTCATGAGTGTCAGCTTTTTGAGAAATAAGACCTTGAAGTATCGAGAACAAGTATGTCCTCAATAAATCACACTGTATATTTCTGAAGTCACAATAGGACATCTGTGCCAGGTGCAAAGTAGTTTGTGTGATTTCATGTTAGAATGGTCACATGAACTTCCTGGAAGCCGTGTAGAGTGGATGAGAACATAAAGACTAATGGGCTTTAGACTAGGATTCCCAATGGCAAAAGTTGTTAGCTGCCATTCCATCGAGTCAGCCCCTGACTGATGGTGACCTCAGATGTTACAGAGTAGAACTGCTTCCAGAGGGTTTCTTGGCTGTAGTCTTTACAGAACCATCAACCTGGGGTTAGCAGCCAATTACAAATTACTTGCGCTCCCCAGGTTCCTAAATGGCAAATGACTTTGGACAAGTCATTTAACCTTTCTGGGCTTCAATGACTTATCTATAAACAATAACAAAGTGGGGGTGAAGTAGCATCTCATTATGGATTTGATTTGTATTTCCCAAACGGCTAATGACTTTGAGCATACTTTCTTGTGCTAACTGGTACCAATATAAAGTTTTAGCAGTTTTTTTATGGCTGGTAGTGGTGCTGGTTGAAAATGGGGTCTTATTTTAATTTACATTTCTTTAATTCTGTGGGAGGCTGAATATTTCATCATTTTACAAATCATTTGGATTTCTTTTGTATGGACTACCTGCAAATTTTTTGTCCAGCTTTTCTGTAGTATTGTTTAATTGCTTTAGAAAAGTTTTGTTCTTTCAAGAAATTTGTGCTCTCTGGACTCGTGGTGTGATGCTGTAGGATCAGCACTGGACTGCATACCACAAGATCTGGAGTTCAAACCCATCAGCTGCTTCTTGGAAACCCTATACAGGGTGTCTATATGCTGGAACCAACTCGACGGCACTTTCCTTCTTTTAAAAAACAAACATTTTATTATGAATTTATCCATTTTCTATTCAAAAACAACAACAATATGGCAAATATGGCAAATATGGAGTCTTGGTGTGGTGCTGTAGAATAAGCGCTAGACCACAAGGTTGGCTTGAACTGCAAGGTTGGTGGTTCAAACTCAACAGCCACTTCTCAGAAACCTTATACAGGGTTGCTGTGAGTAGGAAGGCATCCTGGTGTGGTGCCGCAGGATAATACACTGGACCTCAAGGTCAATTTGAGCTACAAGGTTGGCAGTTCAAA